CTACATCTACATCTACATCTACATCTACATCTACATCTACATCTACATCTACATCTACATCTACATCTACATCTACATCTACATCTACATCTACATCTACATCTACATCTACATCTACATCTACATCTACATCTACATCTACATCTACATCTACATCTATCTAGTTGCTACAGTCACCTCTGTCTCCATTCCGCCTATTAAGTACCAAAAATAAGTTGTATTTTCTTGGGTGGATATAGAGACACTCCCTTTCGCGACCATGCAAGGAGTGTTGTTGTGAACACCTAATTGATCAGGGGCTGCCTGATTTAGARCGGGCGGGCGGRCGGTAGCTACAATGAAGTTAAATAACCTCTCCCACTGCTAAYCATAATCCCTGGCGCCCAGCATATATCACCTTTAGCTAGACTTACAACCGATAACTTCCATGGTCCTTGTTTGAATTCTACAAAAATATCAATAGCTGCTGTATTCCTTCAGCAGTGGACAAGCTTGAGAAATGAATGATGTTAATGGTAAGAACCTACAAGCAAGGACAAAATTAAAACAACTTTGGCTGTCCTGAGACTGATCAAGGGCTTCTCTTGCCCACAAGACATCTGGGTTCGAGGACAAGCTTAGCTAATACTTAGCTTATACTTAGCTTAGCGTCTGAGATGAGTTGTGGGTGCAGAGCCTGTCATAAGAGAATGGAGTGCCAAAACTTAAATGCATGCAGATCATGGGGACCCGACTCCATAGTAGTAGGCGTGTGAGTGATAGAGTTACAGATATCGTCCACTGAAAGCATTGGGCCCGCAAGGTACTATGTGAAGTTCCATTTTCCCGATGATAAGACATTTTTACGATTTTGATTAGCGGGTCGCACTGTGTGGTCTTGGTCTATAGAAAATCGCATTGCATCTCTGGGTAGGCTCCGACGAGGAAGGCGAATAGTAGCCGTAAAAAATGTCGGACTTGGTTTAAGATTCTAATATCAATATAATAATCAATCTTCCTTAATTTTATTTTTCAACTTACGCTTTATTAATTKAACTCTTAGTTGCGTCTAAATCTTATATCGTAACTGATAAACTGCAGGTCTTTATTGGAAACACTGACAGCAAMGGCGTTGTAACACGGAAGGTTGGGCCATTCATAGCACGATATGTGCAAATCAAACCAACAGAATGGCATGGTAATATTGAGATGAGAGCTGAATTTTATGGATGCGCTCTTTCAGGTAATGAAATACGCATATTTAATGAGATGCCGATGGGTAATATATTACCTTGGTGAAATACATATAGTCTCCCATTATGCTATATCTGATTTCATTGAATATACCATGGTATCCGAATACACCCAACGGTATCCCAACACATTCCMTGGTATCCCAACATACCCAATTGTATCCCAAAGTATCCCAACACATCCCATGGTATCCTACACAACCAACGGTATCCCAACACATCCCATGGTATCCCAACATAGCCAATGGTATCCCAAAACATACCAACACATCCAATGGTATCCCAACATACCCAATGGTATCCCAACATACCCAATTGTATCCCAACGTATCCCATGGTATCCCAACATACACAATGGTATCCAAACACATCCCATGGTATCCCATTCTATCCAAATGTATCCCAAAACATCCCAACACATCCCATGGTATTCCAACATTCCCAATGTATTTCTACACATCTCAAAAATAATGAAATAGAAATATGCAAATAATTTTGTTGTTTTCTTTATGTCTTGTCAAGTTGAGGGCGATAATGGATTGACTGTAGGTTACTGTAAGAATTACGCCTCTCTACGAAATCGATCGCTAGCAGGCAAAAAGTGAATTCCTCTGGAATTGCTACGCAATATTGAGAAAATTGTTGTTGACTTATAATGCCGTAGTATACATTGGCAATATCTTAATGTCTTCCACTTGTTCTGTTGTTCTTGGACTGCACATCTTCTCTGTGAGCYGCACTCTTTTTGTAATTGAACTGACAGAACTCTTTTCATTTTTAGATCGTTACAGGGTAACAGGCCGAAATGTTCATATGGATTTTGTTAAAGAGTACCTTGCAGCCAAAAAAAACGTTGATTTCGAAGATTCACAAGAAATCCCTAATAACATTCGAATTGAAGTTTATGCTGATACAATTTATTTCAAGGTATGTCATTTTTGTGATCGCTTTAATATTCTTTATTTTCTTAATAGCACCGGTAACCCTTTAAAGCTATAGTTTATGTTAGAAAATACAATAGGAATACTTGATACTATTTTATTCTATAGGTAAATTCAATTGGTGACGAGTGAATTCCGCGCTGACTTCACGAGTCATCCAATGAATCTTCCTTGAATTTCATGCCTCAATTTTTTGAGGAGAACAAAAAGTATTTAAAAAACAAGATAGAAATGAGGGCGCGCTTGCAAAATTGAAATGGCGCTTGAAATGGCGGGTCGCTCGTGAGTTCAGTTCGAGAAATTTAGTTTCAGTTTTTTAGCCATTTTAGCTAAAGAAATATTACTTTTTATAAATAACTAAAACAATTGTAGCACTCGAATGGCTTTTCAGTATTTTTACTGACGAACAAGCTCAAACCGGTTTTTCAGAGCGAGTTTGCAACGATGATTAGGGACTGTGCAATAATTATCAGGAGGGGGGCTGTAAAACCAGCTTTCTCAAG